AGTGGGTTACATACCACCACCAGCTGTACTGGAGGTTAAGATGTTGGCCTCTCATTCCTGGGTTTGAATCAGGGTAGTGACCGAAAAATTTTATTCTCTAAAATTGTCTCCTTTCACGTCCTTTCCTGCTCTCTAGCAATGTTCTGTCTTCTATTTTCGTCTCCTCTTTCTGCCCCCACCCCCTCACCTCCTTTGTCCCCTCCTCTGGGCTCCAGACTCTTTTTGTAGCCTTTCTACTGCTACTCCTTGGCTCCTTCTTATTACTGTTTTTCAGCCCCACCCCAGATCTTCTGGTAGGAAAGATCTACACCTAGCCTTCTCGGACGAGGGCGAAAAATCTGGGAGGGCCCGTGTGCAAGTTGCGCACGTTAAAGATCCCTTGGTGGTCTAAAATCGATAAGAGTAGGCTTCGGCCGCCACCTGGGAGAAATTCAAAATTTCCTACCAACTGAAAAAGTTTATAATGTTTCCCGCGCGCTTATATGACATTGTGCAGTTGCGAGCGCCTTAAAACACTTACCAAAAAAAAGAACAACACAGCAAGTGTCCATGGTTCAAATCCCACTCTGGGCGTTTTTGAACTCGTGTCGTTTTATGGAGTTTTCAAAAGGTTCAACCTACCCGACTCGTTCCTATCGTAGACGGGCGTTACATTCGGGGGTCTGTAACATAATCAAACTTAATTAATCCCCATAGAAAAACTTAGGGTTACATGCCACCAATTGCTCAACAAATGGTTACATCCTCTTAAATGGCTTTATATAGTGTTGATAAGGGTGTTCAACCTATACACTTACTTTTTTTTTTTTATAATCATTTCACCACCCAGGTGGCGCAGCGGGAGGTGGACATGGCTGTAGCGACCGACCAGGGCGGTTCCATCCGGATCCCGTCTGCCTGGTCCGGCTGCGTGGGCCTGAAGCCTAGCCACGGGCTGGTGCCTTACACAGGCTGCATCAACACAGAGCCCACGGTGGACCACGCCGGGCCCATAGCCCTCACCGTCTCTCACTGTGCTCTCATGCTCGAGGTTAGCAGACTGATTGAAGTGTCTTTAGGCCATTCCCAAAGGGGGGACATTTCTCGTTCTTATGCACTGTAGAATTTTTAGATGGACTGATTCAACAATGTCATGCTCATAACTGTGCCTGAACTACAACAAAGAACTATTGCGGTTTCTTTCCTAATCTTTACTTTTGTCATTTTCCTCTACTTCTTTTGTATGTTTGTCACACTCTGGTGACCCGCTATTTCCGGGGTTCCTTGAAAATCAAAACAGATTTTGTGCTGTTAAAGCTAGGGAGTTGGGCAGAGTATGCCCGATTCGCTGTAAAGACTCCTTTGTTGACCTCCACCCCTTGGCGCTAATGTGACCTTATGCAGTTGCCAGCGCCGTAAAACCTCTACTAAATCATAATAGACCATACTTACACTGTCTCGCCATTTTCAAGCCTGTTTAGGTGGGAGTGGTTGTTGTTTTTTTTGTTGTGGTTTTTTTCGTTTGTTTGTTGTTGTTTTGTTTTGTTTTGGGGTTGTTGTTGGTTTGTTTGTTTGTTTTTTGGGGGGTGGGTTTTGGTTGTTTTTCTTTTCTACCAGCCGTGCCTCAGAAAAGTGTGAGTGTGTTTGTGTGTGTGTTTGCATGCTTGTGTGTGTGTGTGTGTGTCTGTATGTCAGTAAGTGTGTATTCGTGTGTCCTGTGTGTATGTCCATTTGACTTGCATGTATTGTGTATTTATTAGTCTGTCTCAGTGGGGTTAGTGTGTCCTGTGTGTATGTCCTTTTGACTTGCATGTATTGTGTATTTATTAGTCTGTCTCAGTGGGGTTAGTGTGTACTGTGAGTTGTGTACATACTATTTCTTTTTCTCAGTCTCTACTTTTCCCTAGTTTTAATATTTGTTTTTACGCCACCCATCGATGCAATTAAGATCATTTAGGAAGCGAGTTTCCGACACTGAGCTTGTCAAGACCAAACCGGCTGAGAGGGATGCAGCATCTCAGCAAAAAGAGATGTTCTATAAAAATGTCTACCCACTTGGAAATCGAACTCGAATCACATAGGCTGCGAAGGCCAAGCCCTTTACTACTATACCGCTGACGACAGTACATCTCCAATAGAACCTCTATTTTTCACCCCTACCCCCCCCTAAAAAAAAGACAACAACGACAACAATCCCTCCCTTCTAAATTCCACCCCCCCCC